CGAACCAACATTCACTCAGCCCAGACACTCTTATCTCACATCCCACACTATTCTCCTTTTTATCCCTTCTCTTGCGAATTTTCAGTGATTTCTCGTTAACGTTCGCGCCGTTACAGAGACCCAATAAACCTCGCGGTGCTGTCGCTGAAGGAAAACGGGGAACTGGCGAAACTGGTGAATCGATGGTGGTACGATAGAACAGAATGCAGGCACGGGGACAAGCAAGACGCCTCCAGGAACGAGCTTTCCCTCAGTAACGTAGCAGGGATATTCTACATCCTCATTGGTGGCCTGCTTCTAGCTCTGGCCGTCGCACTCCTAGAATTCTGTTACAAATCGCACACGGAAGCTACTAGGGCGAAGGTAACGAATCACCGTCATTATCCTTGCACCTTCCAATCTCTCTGCACCAAATTTTTTTTTTTTACTGCGTGTCAAATAAAAAAACTTGCAGTCCAAAGGGTGAATTTCGTTAAAGAAAGTATTCGCTTCGTTCGCAATTGCATTCATCGAAATTTCCAAATTTCCAGATCCCACTGTCAGACGCGATGAAGGCGAAAGCCCGACTGACGATCGGCGGTGGTCGAGATTTCGACAATGGCCGGGTAAGTGGCACCACGCATCGTTCACGCCCTTAGAGATCCATGTTATCGATCGCACGCGTGCCTCGCGGGCTACTGAATAACGTAGAATCGAGTTGGCCAGAGGCAACAACCCAAAAAATGGAATAAAACGTTCTACACTTAACAACAAATTCAGAGAAATACCGTATCGATACACTTCGCGAAACTTCCGATATATAAAAGGAGAAAAGTAAATAGAAAACAGCTGATTGCAACAGCAGAGCCGCGTGGAACGTTTTCCTCCTATTTGCTCGTCTCAAGCCAACGATCTCGATGTACCGTGTAACATATACGTCCGTAAACGCGTCGGCACCGGGTTGCATTATGCATATTCGTGTAATACAACGACCTATACATACAATACATACTACGTATACATAGAGGCATACAATAGAAGTACGTTTGGCATGCAATTAGCAGCGTGTATACGTTGGTCGTGCATACTACATATTGTGATCGAAAGGCGATCGAGTATCGAGAATATGAGACGGGAACGTCGTACTTGAAGACTGTTTTCGACGACACACGATCGACCTAAGGACGATTATCGATCGTTGTTGTTACATCGTGTATTCAAAATATATATATATACATACTTTTGTGTATAAATATATATAAAAAAAAATGTATAGATAGATACATATATATAAATAGTTATATATATATACAAATTATACGTACATGCGTGCGATGTGCGGCTGGCTGGATGTGTTGCGCTCTTTTCTACTTCTATCTATCTATCTCTACCTCCTCGTCTTTCTCTTTCTATCTCTCTATCTCTCTCTACTCTTTGTACTCGATGGATGCAGGAGACGTAATTTTTGCTCGTTTTGCGCGTTTCGTTCTACTTTTGTTTTTGTCTCTAGTGGTACGGACTGCAGAGTTAGACGGAGGATGCATGCGCCTTTCCCGGGACCATATGTGAGTACTCTCTAGCCCTTAATTTTAAATCCCATCGTGCGCTCTGCGTCTGTCTCTCTCTCTCTCTCTTCTCTCTCTCTCTCTCTATCTTTCTCTCTCTTTCACCTGTTTCGGTGTGCCTATTTTTTTTCTTCCGCCCTTCTTGCCCCGCTCGCTTCTCTTCTCGTGTACTACTACTACACCGCCTTAGGTAACGTTCATCACGTTTTTCTTTCTTCCTGGTTCTTTTGTTTTTCTCGTTATATTTCATAGAGGTTTCATGGTAAATCGTCAGTAGCGTGTGCTATCTCGTTCGAATTCATCGAGGTACTGCTACATTTTTCTTTAGATATTTCAATCTTTTCCGTTCACTATCACGATTCACTTTTCTCGTCACTTTTCTCAGTCACGTATTTTCGAGTAATTAATATGTAGATGTGTATACCACGTTTTATATATATATATTTGTCCGTTCGATTAATTCGTACACTTTTAATTATGCACGTAAATCATCACGATCGTCGTACGAGGTATAGAGAAGAAATTCAAGTGAAATCTCTGATTGTTCGTTTATACATACAGGGTGTCCCGTAACTCCTCGAACACCCGGAAATGGGGGGTTGCTGGGGTGACTCTGAACAACTTTTTCCTTTACCAAAATGTTGTTTGAAGCTTCGTTTTCGAATTATTAACGAAAAACACTGGCCAATCAGAGCGCGCGTAGAGCCCGCGCTCAGGGACGAAGAACAGAGGCTCACCCGCGCGCGATCGAACAAATGCGTACGCGTCACTTCTCGGTTATCGATCGCTGTAAAAAAAATTTCACTTTGTACCGCTATTTTTACAAGGCTTAGAGAAATGGGTTTTCGTTGTCATTCCGACATTTGTATAAATTTTTGAAAAAACTGCAATTAGTCGAAATCGTGAAGAAAATAGCAACCCCCCATTTCCGGGTGTTCGAGGAGTTACGGGACACCCTGTATATAGCTTTAGAGTTGTGTACCTTTGTAAAATGGAGTTTGAAAGACTGCGAATTTGCGATTAGTCGAATTTTTTCAAAATTACGTACACACAGGCGTCCTTCTACCTCCTGCTTTCACCTCCGCAGCTATTCTTCCCGCCTCTACAGCTTTGGTTATCATGGAAACGCTTCTGAAACGCGAACAGAGCATGGCTTACGGCAACGTTCTAGAGGATCGTGCAAACGGAACGTGGATTTGTCGAATCGCATGCTGCTTTCGAACGCTTGTACACGTCAGGCTGCGTTTACACTGCTACATTTTGTATTCATCACGAATCTCTACTTTTTGCTTCACCCTGGATACTGCGAACTATCGAATTTCGTGGATTCTACGGTCATCGGTGTCCGGTTATCTGTGCGTTTCGAATTTTCCAACGATACCTTACATGCGTCGCGTTCAATTTCACTGAATTTCGAAACACCCACGTCGAGTTTAACGAGTAAACGAACGAACGTCTGGGATATATTCGAACTCAATTGGAAACGTCGCAAAATTTGACGATTTGTCGTGTCGAAATTTAGTGCAGGAATTTCACGTTACATATACAGAAATGTCACGAACTACGAACGAAGTACACGTTCCGCTAAATGTTTTTGTAGCAGTGTGAACAGACCCATTGAATGAAAAAAAACAAACTATGCATCGAACGAAGTGTTTCTCGCACGGCGAACGAGCGATAGAATTCTGTCTCTTTCGCGTTGTTCTCTTCTCTTCCGAAGCAAGTGCGTTTCACATGAAGCAGGACGGTAGAACGACGACAGAGGAGAGAATTTCATGCACCGTTCGCGATACACACGCTCGTACAAATTCACGGCACGGTCACACGTTTTCCACCACCTTCGCGCGTTTAACGTAACTAATTCTCACACGCGAGACCGGCTGGGATGGTAATTATTCTGCAGACTGTGGATGTTTATGCGGACAGAGATCTGTCCAACCGTACAAAGGTGTACATATAGAGACTGTAAATACGAGAAACAGAGAAAAGTTTCGCGGAGATGCTCTACAGGTAAAAAGACGATCCATTCTTCTCGAATGTGTCCCTCGAGAAAGTGTTCCAATACGTTTTCGACATTTTCGAGAGAATGAGATTTCGATGGAAATTATCGAACAGATTCCGAAGAAAAATTGTCGTTTCGCGTGGAGAAGATTTCGCGAATCTCTGAAGAAGTTGTATTTTAAATCGGACTGTTCTGTCGTATGTGCAATTCTATTTTTTTTTTTTATATAGGACCGCTGCAACATTGGATAAACATCATAGTTCCCTCTGAAATTGACACACGAATAATACAAACACGTAATTGAAACATTCACAATTGTTCGAGTAATTCGATTTCATATCGTACGATGATTAATCTTGTCAAATACCGAGTAATTCTTAAGTATTATACGTTTGCAGAGAAAGTTGCACAACTTGTTTCAGTAGTCGTTCACTTTTGATATCGAAATTTAGTCAATATTCAAATAAAAAGTGAAAAATCACATATACCAGAAAAACACGATACAAATATCATACTTGACTTCAATATTACAGAATTAAGTATCGTCGCAGCATCACAGAAACAACTTTCCCTGTAAAAATCATCAACCTCAAAAACACACGTCCTCACAGAAACTGTCAACACAAAGCACAATTACCCAATTCTCACCCCTGTTACTTGCAAAAGTTGCACCTTCGAAATCACCCTTCGAAATCACCCCACACTTCGAATCCAATAGAAAACTTACACTCGTCTTACGAGAATTTCCACACCTTCACGGCCTGAATTGTTCGAATTATTAATCGAGCCGTTAAACACAGACTTCCAGTATCTATCGATTCAGCCCCCTCTAACAAAGTTGCAATACTGGAAAAATGTTAGAATTCCAAAGCAATTAAACGCAACATTGTTACGACTTAATAATATCACAACTCGTTTTAACCTCGATTAACAATTCTCCACCATTCGTCATATTCTACGAATCCCCCGAGACCAGTACACATCAGTTGCGTAAACATCCGCAGTTCACAAAACCATACTGATAAAGCACCACACGAGACCTCTCACCCCCCTTTTCAGCATTCATGTGACAAGCAGCCAGGGTTAACGCGCGACCATTGGAATTTCCAGTACTACGCACCGGCAAACGCGATTGGCAATACCGAGGGCGACCAGGTGCACAGCAATACGCACACCCAGGTGTAAATTACCTGGATAGCCCAGGCGAGTCGCCCGCCATCTCCCTGCCCACGCCTCCAAAAAAAAAATCTGCCACCGCCACCGCCGCCGCCGCCGCCCAGAAGACCGCCACGAAGAAGCGTCACCTTCGCAGAATCACCGCCGAAGAGCCCTAAGAAAACAAGGTTCTCGCCGTTCCTGCGGAGGCCGAGCATCACGATGTTAGACATCGCGGTGCCTTGGACACCAGCTTCGCCGCGTGTCTGGGCCGGCCGTCTCGGCGACTACAAGCCCGAATACATCACGTAAAAATGCAAAAAGAGAAGAAGAAAACGAAGGAAAATTTAGTAAACAGACGAGCACGAAACGCTCCTGTCCCGTTGGGCTGATTGAAACAAACCAAACGAATCGTCTCGATTCGTCCAGAATAATCGAACGATCTCTCTCGACGTGCCCAAAAGTTACGATCCAAAGATCCAGAAGAATACCCGAGCAACGCGTTTGCCGCTAATCGAATCTCCGCGACGTTAGATATTCTCGAGACTACTTCGATTCCGTTGCTTTCACTCTCTCTCTCTCTCTCTATCTCTCTGGCAAATCGAAGTTCTCGACGAACGATTAACTCGTCTCATATTTCGCGTCTCCAAGTTCCTCGAATACTGCCACGCGTGATTTCAGATCGTCGACGAAAGTGAGTCGATTCAGGTTCGATTTTCTATTACTCGGCGAACTTGTGGAGTGTTCGTTCGCTGAAGGAGAGGACAACAGAGCCGAGAGGTGTCGGGAGGAAGAGGGAAATCGCAGAGGAAGCCGTGTTTACACGTCTAGATCGGAACGAGGATTTTTCTCGCCGGTGAATCTCGTCGGTAGGGACGATCCTCGAATGTGGTCGCGCGCAAAGTCGTGTTTGTACATTGTATATATATACGTTGTAATCGAACCAGGCGAATCAGAGGAGTAGAGAGGAGGAACGCGTACGACCGGCTAAACCGGCGACGAGAACAGGTCGCGAAATTCGATAGTAGAACTCGATGGTCCTGGGGTGGGTGCATGTGCAACCAGCAGCTCGAACAAACACACTCAACTGCCATTTCCGTTCGAACAAGCCCCCGTGAAAACACACTGCGAAACAAATACGATTCACACGTACACAAACGCGTGCATACATATTGCTGTATGTGTGTATACATGTATGAGGAAAGGTGTGCAGGTCGACCGACGACGAAGAAGAGGAAGGGGAAGAAATACGTTCGAAGAAGAAGAGACGTGCTATGAGATAAAGTTCGAGGAGAGGATGAATACGAGTGACATTTCGATGGAGAAGAAGAAGAAGAAACAAAGTGGTAATTGAGGGGAAACGAAGGTGAAGGAGGGTAGTAGAAGCTGTTGAAGAAGTTCGAAAGAGCCGCGTGGGGGAAAAATAAAGAGGACGGGTCGACCGCGACGTGACGCTACTATTATTATTATTATTATCATTATTCTGATTACTAATTATCGTGACCGCTAGGTTTTTATTACGGATTACACGGATTCGTTGCGGATCCACACCGGTGTAAACTATTTTGTGGATCTCGTGAGAATGGATTATTAATTCGTATGGTGAAAGAGATGATGGTGGGAAAGAAAATCAACACCGGAGCCGCGATACGTTTTTTAACTGACGAAGAAATGATGTATAATCACATCGATGCGTGAGTAAAATATGCATATATTTATATAAATATACATACGTATAGACGTTTATTGAAAGATGTACGATGAGAGGCGAGAGAAAGATGAAACCGAGAATGTGAGAGATCGAGAGTGTGTGCGTTACGCGAGTGTGTTTGATGACGACATAGGATTAACGATATCGTGTAAACGCATTATTAAGTACCTATCACTGCCAGTTCGCGCCGATCCGAGCCGAGAGAGGACGAAGGAGCTTTTTCAATTTGCCGACGGACTTAAAACACTTTTTACAGAACACGAGCCGCCGTTTACGCAGGAAACGGGTTCCCTTGCGTTCGTCGGATCGCCGTGATCTGGCTCGAAGAACGACGTTTACGGCCAAGGTTTTTCGTGCCAAAGGACGATATCTCTCCCCGGGGCGATAAAGGTCCGGTGCTACGTTGCTACGTAAAGTGACAGAGGAAGGCCCCCTTTTGGTGCGAGCGGTAAAAGCAAAAGGGAGGGAAAAAGGTGTATCAAGACCGAAAATCAAAAACGCACATGTACATATTTTTTAAAGAGTGAAGCAGAGATACCCTTTTAAAATTATGGATATTGCCTCCTTTCGAGACTGAAAGTAACATAATCAAAGTATACTGTTTTCCACGGTGTTCCTCGAGGGAAGAGTTTCGAAAGGTCTCCATCGAGAACGCGAGGAACGTTCGAAATTCACGAAAAGCTGCGTTTCAGCATTTGAAATCAAAAATAGGAGAATCAAAGTCGTCGAGCAAGCATCGATTCTTCGAGTATCATCGTAGCACTGTGCGAGAAGAACAGGGAGAGAGATCGCGGAGCCAAGTTGCATGTTGCGACGTATAAAACTATTTTTCTGAAGCACACGAGCCTACTCACCGATCAGAACTGCCATAGTAAGAAAACCGACGATTGCCGGAAACATAGAGAACATGTAAAAATGCCCGCCAATTGTTCCATGAACCGTTTTGTGTCACCCCGGTTAACCACAAGTATCCCCGAAATCTTTCTCCTGTTTATTAAGGAAGAAGCTTGCGATTCACTCGCGGAATAAACACCCGATCGAGCCGTGACGAGGAAGTTTTATACGTGGCAGCGACTACAAGACCGATCTACCTATCATATCGCCAGAATTTTCTTATTACGACTAATTGTTATCTATCAACCGGTTTAAAGTAACGATAGATAATGTGTATATCGGGTATTAAGGTCGTTAAAAGTAAACAATGGTAAGACACGATACGAATACGAGGTGGTGCATTTATATCGGAAGATTGAGAAGAAGCAAACACGGTCCGGAATGAAGAAAACTCGAGTCATCTTGATCGAAGGCCGCACGTTCTCACGACCAGAGCCCCAGCGTGATCCGTTTGGAAAAACAAACGATTGTACAATTTTACACGACAGGTGCATCTCGCTACGAAGAGAAGAAGAACGTTACCGCCTGATTCGAACAGAGAGAAGGAAGAAGAAACGGCAAGGTGTATTCGAGAATTGAATTCGAATTGGTCAGAGGTAATTTGTTCTTGTGGGAGTGTAGAGTATGGCCGCCAGATTTGAAGATAAACGCGCGACGATATTTTTCTTCCCTCCGTCGTTGTGTGATCGTTAACGTTTTTCGTGTTGATGTTCGTCGTGAATTTTTTCTATCCCCCTCCGAAGCACAGCTCACCGGTACAGAAACGAACTCGCGTCTAAAAATGAACGGTGTTACAGTAGCCCGTATACCGTCCCGGCGTCGTTACGAGCGCGGCTCACACCGCTGCACCAAACCTCTTTTCGCCTGTTCTTCCTGTTCACCTTCGACGCTTCTTTTTGTACGTGGAATAATTGAAAGGAGGAACAAGAAGAAGAAGAAGAGAGCTTGAGGAGATTTTTTACGCTGTTCTACGCTGGACGACTGTAAATACTTGCCAGGCCTTGGAGGGAAATACGGGACGCGCCCTTTCTGTTTTACGAAAGGGTAGAACATTTTTAATTTTGTAAATAATAAGCGAAAGAAAGTACGAAAGAGAGATCGCGAGCTTAGAAGCTAGCTTTGATAAAAGTAATTAAAATAACGAGGATCGGGGTGATAGAATTGTTGTTTGGAAGTGCTTATGGAAATTCAGTAGAATGAGTCGATGTGTAGTCAGACGAAATGTATCCACTTGTTCTTTATTCATCTTTCCTTCCTTTACATTTCAATGCACTTTTGTAACATTCTACGCTGGATGACAGTGAATACTTCCTTACTTAGAGGCCAGAGAGTAATGAAATTTTTCAATTTTGTAAGGTATTCAGGTGAAGCGGCGGATTTTTGTAGAACATTCGATACACGGGGAAAGCTAGCTTTAATCGAAAAATTACACGAAAGCAATCAGAATGAATAACGGCGAAGAGTATTTACAACGATCCAGTGGAACGACTCAGTATCAGACGGTGCACCATGAGCTGTAGAAAAGAAAGAAAAAAGTGAGAAGAGAGGAAGCGCGCGTAAAGGCTAACAGAATAATAGCGAAACTCGTCCGAGATAGCGTAATTACGTGTAAAACGAGATCACGCGATGAGAATCAAACGAATCCCAAAACGAAATGATGAGAACGAACGAAACTAAAAAAAAAAAAAAGGAAAAAGGAAAACAGGTGGAATAAAAGAAACACGAAGAAGAGAACAAGGAATATAAAAGAGAAAAATAAAATAGCGTCTTCCAGTTTGCGCTTTCACCGATCGCTGCATAAGAATTACGCTTGTACCTTCGATTCGAGTATCCTTCGTCATCTCCCGTACCATTCCGTGGCATGATACGATCGATTCCCTTGTAAACCGTTGTATACCAATCAAATTTGTCACAATACAGGATCGTTTATTTAAATGTAACCTGCGATGTGATTCGATCCGTCCCTCCCTCCCTATCGATTCGCAGGTAAGTCGATACACGTTGCCAACTGGCCATTTATTTCTTCAATATTCACGTCAAATCTTTTTTCTCCTATATTTCAAAAACAAATCTTCCAATTAGAAAATTCTTAGAGTGAAAATTTGTCGAAAAATCTTTCCTCTCGCGCACTTCAGTAAACGAATCTTGGAATTAGAAAATTCAGAAAAATTACGAAAGAGCAAAATTAAGAAGAAAAAGACAGTAAAATTTGGTTAAAATTAGAATTGCAATTGTATAGTCTAAGAGATTTTTCTTTGAACAAATTTTCTTTCTAAAAATTGAAATGAAAACTGAAAGGTCCCTTTCTTTGACACGTTCTACGAAAACTATCAAAGACAGAGGAACGCCAAGGCAGCAACTAAATATCCGGTTGTTGCAAATAGCCGAACCGCAGTGCGGAATCGCGCGCAATGATTTATGCAGGGACTTGTCAGAAATC